AGTGTTGGAGAAATTGATGGGATTAAAGGTTTATAAATCCCCAGGACCTGATAATCTACATCCAAGAGTACATGAGGAATGGACCCTAAAAGTGGTGGATGCATTGGTGGTCATCTTCCAAGATTGTTTAGACTCTGGAATAACTCCTATCGACTGGAGGGTACCCAACATAAAGCTGCTTTTGAAAAGGGAGGTAGAGAGAAAATAAGGAATTATAGACCAGTCAGTCGGATGTTGGTAGTGGGAAAATGCTAGAGTGCATTATCAAGGATTTTATAGCAGACCACTTAGAAAATAGTAGTCACTCAGTCAGCATGGATTTACAAAAGGGAAATCATTCACAAATCTATTGGAATACCTTAAGGATGTAACTAGCGGAGTTGATCGAGGAAAGCCAGTGGATGTGGTTTATTTGTAAAATGCCTTCTGAAAGCCCAAAGTGCCATGTAAGAGATTAATGTGTAAAATTAAAGCACACAGGATTGGGGTCATGTACTGAGATGGACAGGGAACACAGTAGGAATAAATGGATCTTTTCCCAAATGGTAGGCAGTGATTAGTGGGGTAGCACATGGATCGGTACTAGGACCCCCCAACTATGGATAATATCTTAATGATTTAGAGGAGGGAAATAAAAATAGAGTCTCAAAATTTGCAGATGGCATAAAGCTGGGTGCAAGGATGTGAGGAGGATGCAGAGATGTTGCCGTGTGATTTGGACAGGCTGAGCCAGTGGGCAAATGCATGGCAGATGCAGTATCATGTGGATAAACACGAGGTTCTTACTTTGGTAGCAAAAACCAAGAGTCACTTAAATGGCTACAAAGGAGAGAGAGAGAGCGAGAGCGAGAGCGAGAGATCAAGGAGACCCGGGTGTCCTCGTGTATCGGTTGCTGAAAGGGCAGTAAAGAAGGCAAATTCTATATCTGTTCTGAAGGGTCATTGGACCCAAAATGTTTTAACTCTTCCTCTCCACAGATGCTGCCAGTCCTGGTGAGACTTTCCAACAATTTCCGTTTATGAAACTGTTGTTGGCTTTCATAGTGAGAGGATTCGAGTAGAGGAACAGGGACGTTTCGGTGCAGTTATACAGGAGCTTGGGGAGGCCACCCCTGGAATACCATGTGCTGTTTTGGTCTCCTTGTCTGAAGAAGGATGTTTTTGCCATAGCGGGAGTGCAGTGAAGGTTTAGCAAATTGATTCCTAGAATGGCAGGACTGATATCTGAGGAGTGATTGAGTTGGTTAGGATTGTATTCACTGGAATTTAGAAGAATGAGGAGATATCTCATAGAAATCTATAAAATTCCAACTTGACTAGACAGGTTAGATGCAGGAGGATGTTCCCAATGATGGGGGAGTCAGAACCAGGGGTCAGTTTGAGGATAAGGGGTAAACCACACACACACACACACAGTGGTGAGCCTGTGAAATTTACTACCATAGAAAGTGTTTGGGGCCAAATCGTTCAATATTTCCTGCAGCTCTTGTCTACAGAGATATGGGGGAGGGCTGGATTAGGCATTGAGCTCGATGATCAGCCATAATTATATTGAATGGGGAAGCAGATAAGAGGGGTTGAATGGCCGACTCTTGCTCCTATCGTCTATGTTTCTATGCTTCACACAGCTGGCACAAGAGCAGGTCAGAAGCTAGAAATTCTCTGGTAAGTAACTCACCTCCAGAATCCTCAAATCAGTCCACCAGCTGTAAGTCACAAGTCAAGAGTGTGATGGAATACTCTTCATTTTTCAAAAACAGTTGCAGCTTGACACCATCCAGGACAAAGTAGCCCATTTTATTGGCATCTCAACCACTACCGCCACTCTTCGCCACTGATGTACACTGCCAGTGTGCCCCACAAGATGCACCACAGTAACTCACCCAGGCTCCTTCAGCAGCTCCTTCCAAACTTGTGACTATGGCAGAAGATGCACGGGAACTCATCAGCACTTCCAAATCACAGGCTATCCTGACATTTCAGCTTTTCCAGGATTACTGCAGCGACAAAATCCTGGTGTTGCTCACCCTGAATCAGTGGAGTACCTCGATGGCACATATCAAGAAAGCAGTTCACCACCACTTCCTCAGGATCAATTAGGGATGGGCCCAGACAGCAAAGCCCACATCCCATGAATTAGGAAATGCCTTTTCAAATGGTTGAGCAATGGGAAAAGTCTGACTTTGATTCTCTGTCTCTACTGGAGGCAGGAGATTCCTTGTTCCTCACATAAGGCCATCAACTTGGTCAGCACATTCGACAATAATAAAAGCAGTTATTGCTGACCAAGGGAAAAAAAGATACATTTTGTTGTAATTTTTTAAAATCTTGTCCTTGTTTGGAGAATTGGCAAGAATGCCAAGTTAACAATTAAACTGAATGAGAGTGCTAATTAATTGGCACGTGGACTCTGTTTGGTGGAAGCATTGCTGTGGAGAAAGCACTGGTTTCTGAAGAAATCTGAAAGAATTCTGAAGAAGGGTCTAGGCCCGAAACGTCAGCCTTCCTGCTCGGCCTGCTATGTTCATCCAGCTCTACACCTTGTTATCTCACTGGTTAATGACAACTGACTTGTACACTTAATGGTGTGGGGCCCTGGATAGTGTTGTTGAACAGAGACACCTAGGGGTTCAGGTACACAGTTCTTTGAAATTTGCATCACAGGTAGACAGGGTGGTTAAGAAAGTATTTAGCGCGCTTGCCTTCATTGCTCAGACCTTTGAGTATAGGGGGTTGGGACGATGTTGTACAGGATGCTGGGGTGGGCACTTTTGGAGTGCTGTATCCAGCTCTGGTCATCATGTTGTAGGAAGGATATTAGTAAACTGAAGAGAGTTCAGAAAACACTTACCAGGATGTTTCCAGGAATGGAGGGTTTGAATTATAAGGAGAGGCTGGAAAAGTTGGGAGTTTTTTTCCACTGGAGCATAGGAGGTTGAGGGGTGACCTTATATAAAACCATGTGGGGCACAGATAAGCTGAATAACAAAGGTCTTTTCCTCAGAGTTCAAAACAAGGGAGCATATTTTAACGGTGAGAGGAAAAAGACTTTTAAAAAAAAAAAGGACCCAAGGGACAACTGTTTTTACACAGAGTGGTACGCACGTGGAATGAACTGCCAGAGAAAGTGGTAGATGCAAGTACAGTTACGACATTTAAAACATATTTGGTCAGCTACATGGATAGGAAAGGTTTAGAGGGAAATGGGCCAAATGGGACTATTTCAATTTGGGAAATGTGATTGGCATTGGGACTAGTTGCACCAAATGGTCTGTTTCCATGCTGTACGACTCTGTGACTGGCAATTAATTGGTAGGTTGTGTTTAAAGTTTGAACTAGGCAGGTTGACTCTGATTGGTCAAGGCATTGACCAGAGAAATCAACCAGCAAATGGCCGTCATGTATTTTGTTCATTTGAAACAGGTGCAGTGAATGTCCTTTTTCTACCTGGCCTTGTGTATTAATACGTGCAGCCTCTAGCACATGCAACATGCCCTCTGCGAGCCCAACTGACGATCCTAAATTGGTCATCAGCGCAGTTCCTCTCACACTCTGAATTATCCAGTAAATGTTGTCCAATTGCAGAATCATGTCTCATGCTAGATGTGATGCTGAGACTTTAAGTACGGGCTGGTTGGAAATAGTCAGTACCTGGTTTGTCGTGAACAGTCAGAAGGGTTATACTGTTTGATACAATCCGTTGGTCTTTGGGATATATGTCTTACAAAGCTGGTATTACACTGGCACATTACTAATCGTGAGGTTTGATGACAGCACGTAGCTAGTGATGAACAGGATTTATGAGATCACTGCATTGTAGCAGCATGAAACAGATAGAGGTGGTGACAATCGATGAGTCTATTACCGAGCACTCTAACACGAGGGGAGCAAGAATTCACAGTATTGTGGAGCCTTCCAAACCACATGTTCTCCCAAAGCGGTTACACTTCGCACGGATCGATGCTTAAATTACTTGTGATAAGCTGTGAAAGGAAGCTCTCAGTATTGCCTTTGGCAAATTATCCGCTTCCACCATTTCTTTTACGAAACTGTTCCACAGATTAGAAACCCACTCCCTGAAATATTGTTTGTGCACACATTAGCTTCGCCTTTACCCACTTCAAGGTGGCTATGCCCTCAGGTTTGACTGTCCTCTGCAAAAGGGGAAAACAATTGTTCATGCTCTACATTGTTGAATCCTAATATCAGTTGTTTTTAATCATCATTCTACCTTCCGTTTTCTATTGGGAACATCTACAATTTTCATAATTATTCCTCATAATCCAGTTCCTGCCTATCCCCGCAATCATTCAGATTGTTCTTTTCTGTGCACTTTCAACAGCTGCAACATTCTTTTTCCAAACCCATGACCACTTCCATGTAGAAGGACAAGGGTAGCACATACATGGGAACACCACCCCTCTGCAAGCTCCTCTCCAAGTTACTCCTCATCCTGACTTGGAAATACATCGCCGTTCCTTCACGGTCGCTGGGTCAAAATCCTGGAATTCCCTCCCTAATGGCATTGTGGGTCAGCCCACAGCAGGTGGTCTGCAGCAGTTGAAGAAGGCAGCTCACCACCACCTTCTCAAGGGCAATTAGGGACGGGCAATAAATGCTGCCAGCAAGTGACATTCCATGTTCCACGAAATGCATAAAACAATCCTTTTGTCCTTTGTACATGCAATATTCTAAGTGATGTTGTACAATGGTTTATAAAACATAAATAATACTAATCTTTTTGACATACACCAACACCTGACCTCCTTGAGTCATTGGCAGAATGCACAGTCACAACTCACATTTAGAGCATTCGCTGTAGTTCAGGGGAAACTGGGCAAGTTCCCAAGGGAGAAAGCAACAGGTAGATGTGCTGACAGGTTGAGGTTAAATAGGAAGGAGAATTAACACCAGCATGGACCGGACAGGACAAATGGCCTGTTTCTGTGCTGTACGTTCCACGTGAAAACATGGAGGGACACAGGAAACGACAAACTTACTAATGCGCGGAGTCATTCAGCTCAAACTCGTAGCCTCGCGATGCAGCCAGTTTGACCCCCTGGTCTGCCCACAGGAAGCGAAGGGCATGGGACATGAAGGGGAAGAGGGCATAATCCTCATCGAAACAGCGACCACAGGACAGCACCGTCTGAGCGTGGATCTGAAACACAACAACAGGCAAAAAAAACAGCCCTGAGTCAAAACTCTGATTCCAGAAATGACACCATGCGGCTGCAGTAGGAGAAACGGAGAGGGGGGGACGGAGAGACGGGACCACCTGCTAGTAGCAATGATATTTCAGATTTAGTTAAAATATCTTGGGGTTACAATACTGACACTTTCCTGTCCGTATTCACTAGGATTAGCAGAAGCCATGTCGTATTCTCTCACATGTAAATGTGCACAATACTAATATTTCCATCTCGCATCTTTCATTGACCAAGAGAGTAAAATATTCTCAATCACAACAAAATTCTTGCATGCTGTACTTTCTACCCACCCATTTTTCCATGAAGTGATTGATTATTAAAGTTAAACACCCACAACTATCGATGTCAGACATCACCCACTCACTGAGAACATCACCTCATTGCTCACCAGCAACAAAGATAAAGTCACCATAGGTCTGCTCTGTCATTACAGAGAGACAACTGGTGCGGATTTAATTTAAACCAAGGGTCAGCACACCTCAGGTGAGGGGAGAGGTTGAGAAAGGGAGCCCTTCATGGTAACGTCAGCCGGCGTGGGAATTGAATCCACTCTGTAGATATCAGTCTACGTTGCAAACCAGCCATCCAGCCAATGCAGCTAACCAACCCCCCAGCAACATCTGGATTCTCACAGAGCTGCGTGTGGCGAGTGCATGAGACACTGTTCAAGACAAGGTTCAAAACGTTCAGAAAACACAAACTTTGATGCATCTTCCTTTTTCTTGGGGATTTCAACCTCAAAATCCAATTGGTAACCCAAGATTTGAGAGTTTGGATGATTTCCAAATGTTGTTGCTTGATCTGCAAAAAAAAATAAAAAGGGGGATCCAGATAGAGTACAGTTCCTCCTCCCAGCGGGCACTTGCCCATGGCAGTGGACAGAGGAGTGCAAGAGACAGACAGAAGGAATCCCATCTTTTGCTGTCTTCATACAGACACCTCTGGGTTACACAGCAACAGAGATAGCATTCCTCATAACAGCACGACTTCAGCTGATGTCAGGTATGGACTTCTCCTCACACTCTCACTATCAGCTTCCCTTGTCCACATGTGTTCTATTGGCCGGGAATCCACTGCATTACAGTGTAATAAAGACATGTTGGAATAGCTGAAGTGTTGCAGTGATCCAGAGCACTCAAGTTTCTGGCAGTGTCTTCACCAACATCACATCCAGCTGTATCCCCAGTCTGCCCAGCTCCAGATTATCAAACAATTCAAGTATTACTTGAAAAGTGCACCAGGATCAGCTCATGTAATCTTGGTTTAGACAGCATGCCAGAGAGCGTGAGCATGGGCCAGAGAGGGGGATAGCACGCGAGAAAGCACAAGAACTCAAGAGAGAGTGCATGAGAGAAAGGGTGGACAAGAGAGTGAGCGTACGAGAGTGTAAGCATGAGAGAGCAGGGAGCAAGAGAGTACAAGACAATGCAAGACCTTGAGGGAGAGGGAGAGAAAAGGGGGAGGGTGGGGATGGCAGAGAGAGGGCAGATGGGATTGGAACACACCTTACCAAAAAGGGTGAAGAAAGAAGAGTTGCTCTTTAATATTTAGCTGCTGACACTCAGTCACCCAATTTCTGCTGATCGATTGCAGCAAGTGTCAGAGCTGATTCGCTGCACCCCATACAGCTGTCAGTGTTGGTTTGTCAAAGTTCATTTTCAATGAGAAGAGGGAGTTGCCGCTGTCACCAAACACAGCTCCATCTCTTGCTGCTGGAGCTGCTCGAAATCTTTCTAGAAATGATTGCTTATGAAGTGATCGCTCAAGCAACTGGCCCATATTAAGCTAAACAAGCAGCAAGAACGGGTAAAGAGCAGGTGACAAGGGTCAAGGGCCAGGGCATCCTAGACCCATCTGCCCCACACACGTCACACTAAGTCTATTTCTATTCATTGATTTTCACAGATAAAGATCAGAGTGCTGTTAACAAAGATTTGAACCTGTTCATGGGCAATTCTTTTCCTGATATCTCTGACAGTCATTGGCTGTTGGGGCAGCCATGGGCCAATTGGAAGCAGGAAGATCCCCCCTAAGCAAATTCTAATCACATCAAGGACAACTCCATTGCTGGAGCTCCAAACCTCTGGCTAACCAGGTCTAGAACAAAGACTGATCCCTACCATCAGACACCCCACTTCAACAGTTCAATTTCTCTCTCTGATCAGAATCCAGGTACAACACAATCCACCAGCAGGCAATATCACCAGAACAGAGAGAGACAGAGAGAGAGAGAAAAGAAGTGGGGAAAAGGGAAATGAGAAAGTTAAAAAAAGAATGCAAAAGAAAAATGGAGAAAGAAAGAGACAAAAACTCAAACACAAGTAGTTGCTATGGTAATAGAGATAACAAGGTGTGGAGCTGGATGAACACAGCAGGCCAGGCAGCATCAGAGGAGCAGGAAGGCTGACATTTCGGGCCTAGACTCTTCTTCAGAAGTGTTGTGGGAAACAGTGGTCAACCCATGCACAGCATGATCCCACAAAGTCAGTCAGTCAGTCAATCGGTGCTGGTGTTTTTCAAGGAAGACATAAACCTCTCTCTTTTTTGAAGACCAGCTACAGGATCCTTTACATTACACTTAAGTTATCAGAGTCTTTGTTTATCATCCAAACGACGGACTGTGATAGATCAGCACTCACCCTCCAACAGTGTGGGGCTCCATCGGCGCTGACTCTCTGACAGTCCTGTGCACAAGTGAACAAATAAAGCTGCCTTTTCTATCATCTCCATGTTTGCCAAAATTTTCCCAAATGCCTTTGCACTGTATTCACAATCCCAATGACATCAACAACATCCACAATCCCCAATTCCAGCATTTTGTTCCGTGTTCAAGACAACAACATGCTGCGTTTTACAATTTTACATTTTCTGTTCGATTATAGGGAGTCATCGATGTCTAGAACACAGAAAAAGGCCCTTCAGCCCACTGAGCCTATAACAGTCCCAAACAAGCACCTAACTATTCTAATGCCATTTTACAGCACTAGCCCATAGCCTTGTAATCACAAGTCACATCTAAATACTTACTAAATGTAATAAGGGTTTGTGCCTCAGATTGCCACCATTCTTTGGATGGGAAAAAAGTCTTTCCTCCCCTCACCTTAAATCTATGCCTCTGGTCAGTGATCCCAGCATCAAGGGGGATATAGTTTCCTTCTGTGCACCCTGTTTATATCCCTCAATTTTAAACACCTCAATGATGTCCCCCCTCAGTTTCTTCTGCTCCAAGGAAAGCAGCCCCAATCTACCCAGTCTCTCTTCATAATTATTTTCATGATTTTTTTTTTAAACTAATGCCCAATGGATCCCCATGTACATTGTTAAAATCTCATTCCTTTCCCCTACCAAAGGAAACTCACCTCTCTCTCTGATTCTGCAGTGACTACTGTGCCTCTGTAGGGGTCAGTGTTGGGACCACAACTATTCTTGTTATACATTAACCATCCAGGCAAAAGAACTTAGGGCATTGTTGCTAAGTTTGCAGATGACACAAAGATAGGTGGAGGGGCAGGTAGTGTGGGAATGGTGGGATGCTGCGAAAGGACCTGGGCAGGCTAGGAGAGTGGGCCAAGAAGTGGTAGATGGAATACAACGTGGGGAAGTGTGAGGATATGCACTTTGGTAGGAAAAATAGGGGCATAACTATTTTCTAAAACAGGGAAAGGCTTCGGAAATCTGAAACACAAAGGGACTTGGGAGACCTCATTCAGGATTCTCTTAAGGCTAACATGTAAGTTCAGTGGGAAGACAATTGCAATGTTAGCATTCAAGAGAATTAGAATACAGGAGTAGGGATGTATTGATGAGACTGTACAAGGCTCTGGTCAGACCGCATTTGGAATATTGCACAAAGTTTTGGGCCTTGTATCTAAGGAAGAGCGTGCTGGCCTTAAAGGGGGTCCAGAGGAGGTTTACAAGAATGATCCTGGGGATGAAGGGCTTGTCATATGAGGAGTGGTTGAGGACTCTGGGTCTGTACTCGATGGAGTTTAGAAGGATGAGGGGGCATCTGATCGAAATTTACAGAATACTGAGAGTCCTGGATCGAGTAGATGTGGAGGAGATGTTTCCGCTAGTAGGAGAGACTAGGACCCAAGGGTACAGCCTCAGACTGAAGGGATAACCCTTTCAAACTGAGATGAGGAGGAATTCTTCTTCAGCCAGAGGGTGGTAAATCTGTGGAATCATTGCTGCAGAGGCCAAGTCACTGAGTAGATATAAACACAGAGATAGAGAGGTACTTGATAAGTAAGGAGAATAAAAGGTTATGGGGAGAATAGGGTTGAGAAACATAACTGGCATGATCAGATAGTGGAGCAGACTCCAAAGCCTGAATGGCCTAACTCTGCTCCTACTGCTAATGGTCTTACAGTCTGTTCCCCAGGCTTCTTCTTGCTACCAGGTTTTGATGCTTTTGTCCTCATCAGTTCTCCTAAAACAACTCAAATGTACACTTTCATCTGCCAGAAACTCATTCCCTCCTAGAATTCTACTCCTAACTTTTCACCATTATTGTAGAGTATTATTGGGGAAAGAGAGGGAGTGAAGGAATTTCTATTGGATGAGGAAGCGGATAATATCCAGCCGCCATAAAGCCTTATTCCAAGAGAAAAACAACTTGTGAAAAATACAGTATTAATGAATCACTGAGGATAATGTGCAGACAGGACACACACTGGGTTAACTTCACCTCCCTACTACTGGTGCAACACTGTCACCTACTGGTTGCAATTCTACAACTGTCACTGCATGTTCATAACTATCCAGATCACTGTGAGTGCGTGAGTGAGTGAATGAGCGAATGAATGAATGAATAAATATCTGACTGAGGTCCCTTCTGTCTGGCCTAGCATGGTGAAAGATCCCATGACACTATTTGGGGAAAGGCGCAAGAGTTATCCCCAGTGTCTTGTTCAATATTTCACTCTCAATCACCATAATTACACACACAGATAATCTGGTCTTCGTCACATTGCTATATGTGGAAGCTTGCTATGCGTGAATTGACTGCAAATTACAACAGTGCCTACACCTCAAAAAGTACTTCATTTGCTGCCAGTTGCTTTGAGATGTCCTGAAAAGTGCTCTACAAATGCAAGACTGTTTTTTAAAGAACTTCTTACGGTATTCTTGGGGTTGGCCAGATTAATCCTCAGGATTCCCATCCCTTGGAGCACAAACTTCATTGAACTGAGGAGATTGTCCAGGACAGCGGGCTAAAGGGACAAAAGAAGAGAATAAAATTCACTGATTAGTGTCAACACTGGAAGAGAGGCTCAACACAGCAAACGCCCAAGGGCATTTCACAAGAGGAATAATCACACAAAATTCGAGACTGAACAACATTGGGAGATTCCAGGCACATTATAAAAGGAGGGCTTTAAAAGCAGTAAGTGAGACCTTTAAGAAGAGATTTCCAGACCTTAGATCAATACAACTCAGACACAGACACCGATGGCAGAGTATTTAAAATAGGAATTGCGAAAGATGAGAATTGGAGATTCTGTATTGGAAGGTCGATTGTCAGGAGTAATCGGTTTAAAATAAAATGCTGGACAAATTCAAATAGCCATCAGACTAAATGATAGGAAGAAGATGGCCTAATGGCAATATTGCTGGACAGTTAATCCTGAGACTCAGATAATGCTCTGGGGACCCAGGTTCAAATCTCACCACAGCAGACAATGCTGGAATTTGTATTTAATAATAAAAATCTGGAATGAAGAGTCTGATAATGACCTTGAACCCATTGTCGATTGTTGGAAAAACCCAACTGGTTCACTAATGTCCTTTAGGGAAGGAAACAACCAACCTTACCTGGTCTGCCCTACATGGGACTCCAGACCCACAGCAATGTGGTGCCCTCTGGGCAATTAGGGATGGGCAGTAAATGCTGGCGTAGTCAGTGACACCCTCATCCCGTAAACAAAATAAAACTGCATGTGGAGCAATCAACAAATTATCATCTGGTTGAAGGCAAAAGACCTGAAGACTCATTCAAGGCTATGACCATTTCCATTGAGAGATGATCTAACTGCCATCCCTTGACATTCAATGGCATCACAATCCTGGTAATCCCACTCTCACAACCTGGGGGTTATCATTGACCAGGAACTCAACTGGACACCATATAAATAAAATAGCTACAAGAGCAGCTCAGAGGCTGGCAATACTGCAGCAAGTAACTCACCTCCTGACTCCCCAAAGCCTGTCCCATCTACCAGGCACAAGTCAGGAGTGTGATGGAATACTCCCCACTTGCCTGGATGGGTGCAGCTCCAACAACACTCAAGAAGCTCCACACCATCCAGGACAAAGCAGCCCACTTGACTGGCACCTCATTCACAAGCATCCACTCCCTCCACCACCAACGCTCAGTAGCAGCAGTCTGTACCATCTACAAGATGCACTACAAAATTTACAAGACCTTACTATCCACAACCACTTCCATCTAGAAGGACAAGGGCAGCAGATACATGGGAACACCATCACTTGCAAGTTCCTCTCTGAGTCACTCACCATCCTGACCTGGAAATATACACCGCTCCCTCACTGTCACTGGGTCAAAACCCTGGAATTCCCTCCCCAAGGGCATTGTGTGTCAACCTACAGCTCATGGACTGCACCAGTTCAAGAAGGCAGCTCACCACCATCTTCCCAAGGGCAACTAGGGACATAAATGCTGCCCAGACAACGATACCCATGACCCATGAGTGAATGAAAAAAAGCCACTTGGATGACAAAGGAAAATGGAGGCTATTTCAGATCTGCTGGATGATGGAAGATGGACTGAATGGTCTGATCCAATCCCAAAATAATACTATAAATGCCAATTTGATTAGGACAGTACTTATTTTTGCAGATATGATATAGCTAAACTGAGTAAATAAGCTTTTATTAGAAATATGTTTATTTTTGTGTCATTCATAAGACTAATACCCAAATTACTGTCTTGTTGCATATTAAATTTCAGAGGATTATGCCTCCATGTATAATTAGTTTCCTTTCTCTCTCAGTCAAACAGGGAAGCAGCCGGTGCCCTGAGCGTGTTCTATTCTTTCAGTATTGTGTTACAAGCCCTTTGCATCACGTACTTCACAATTCCTGTTGGCAAATTAACACAAGAACTCCCCACCATCCCACCAACACCTCAGTACCCAAAATATCAAAAGGAAACTTATCAACTTAAGTCAAAGCGCCATTTTGTGGCCGGTGCACCCAGACCCAGCGGCGCCATCTACCATAGAGAACCCAACACTCAGTATCGCAACATTCATAAAATATTTGATAGACTTTTAGGTGGTAGACACGTGACTGACAGAGGGAGATATTTTCACATCTGATGACTATTATGTCACTAGGCATCGGTCAAGAACAAGATTAAGCTTCCCTGCAATTATTTGCCAGGTTGAAGTCTAAAAGCAAAGCCAACTTTTGGGAAAAATGTCCATGGACAGCTCTGCCTGGGGGAGGGGAGCTCTGCCAGGGAACCACAGAGCCATTCTTCCAGAGTTCC